GCCAGGGGTCCCAGGCTGTAATTCAAACAAATAATTTAGGACCACATCAGATAGAGAAACAACCTTGCCCATTCACTGCCTACCTGTCCCTCCCTTGCAACAACAGGCATGTGAGCAGGACATGAAGCCAGCTCAGGGGCCTAGAGTAACACCAGACCCCTGATACAGTCTCCTACTCTAATGCAAAACAGGGCTCCACTGATCCCACACTTTTAAAGATACATTTAGAAGATACTCTGAAAATTGACACTGACAAGCATAACTTTTCCCTGCTTTCAGCACAGTCACCCCAAAAGGAAACAATTAATTAGTGGCATTTCAACCCAGACTTCCCATCACAACTGGGCCAAATGGCAGAGAGAACCAGAACCAGACAAGTGTCAGAAAGCTTCACCAGAAGACATATAAACTTAATCTTACCAGGAAAAACACAAACTAAAAAATTCCCAAACACCACAGTAAAACAAACCATCCCAAAACAACCAGCATAAAGCTTGGGAAAATATGAGCCTTCAGAAGGCATGCTGTACCTCAGAGGGCAGACATTCATAGTATCAAGAAGCAGCATCCCTCAAGGGGAAACCAGGGCTGGAAAATATGATGGGCACCCCACAGCCAAGCCAGCATCTCACCCTCACAATAACACCCGCACTCCTTGAACCATACCCAACACGCCTCTGCAAGCACATTTCTAACACCCACACAAAAAGCTAAGAGGGACTGGGACTTGGTTCCCATGCTTCTCATTTTCTTTTCTGGACTAAAAAAGAGTGTTTTGCTCCTGTTAGAGCAAGATTTATACTCACTACAGGCTGAGAATGCCTTGAGATAACAGGCTGCAGTATGGAAACAGCATGCACCCCTTCACATCAAGGCAGTATTTCCTCCACAGAGAGAAGGTCCTCACACAATGGATGTGTCAAAAGCTCCCGTGACCCCCACTTGGTACTAATACAACTCAGCACCTCTCTAAGCACTGGGCTCAAGGGAAGCACAGAGTTGGAGCGCTACACTCAGGCACAAACTTCTCCAGCTTTTAGCTGACTTCCAAAAGAGCCAACTGTGCTCAGGCATTCCCTAGAGCACAGTCATAACCTTTCCACAGATATCTGTCAGGGACTGGCCTTAAATATTAAAGCCCAGCCACAGTGTCTCAGGTATACCCTAATTCTTAGGCTGACTGGACACATCCAACATAACAATGCTAAAAATTATTAGCCACATATTGGCGGATTGCTAGGCTGCATCCCAGATTTTCCCATATAAGGGAAAGTTGAAGGCATTGTCCTATCACATGGAAAACATATTGCACCAGCCTGAGATATTAGGAACAAAATCAGAGTCTCCTCATGTCACAAGCTGACACCCAGAGAACCACAATTTTCCCTTTTTGCTGCCCGGTTGATCAGCTTTCCCCAGCTCTGTTATTCCACCAGAGGCTGATGCCGGATGATCACTGGAGGCTGGGACAGGCATTGCACACACAGCCCGGCGCTGTGCAGGGCTCAGCACTTCCTTAGAGGATTTTGGTCCCACCACCACCATGCTTGGCGACACAGGCACTGACACCTCTCCCACAGTCAAGGGTAATTCTGTTTTCATGGGTTTTTAGGGTGCTGAGAACCCACCACACAAACCCTGCATGTCACTAACACTGTGCCACAGCAAACATTACTGCCTCACTGCATACAGACCCTTCATCCTCACCATCTTCTCTCCCCTTGACAGCACTTGTTGGCCTCCAGCAACCATTCTGCCTCTGATTTCATAGATCAGGGTAGGACCACCAACACCAGAGACTGACTCGACTGTCCCAAGCAGGAAACTGGGGATGAGCAAGGAGAAATGCATTCACTGCTACTTGCAGGAGCAATGAAACAAGCCCTCTCAAGTGCCCCAAGGCCCAATGAGATGTTCAACCACTGAGCTTTAAGACAACCTCAGAGCAGCCTCCCCATGCTGCTTTCCAGACCCAACACTGGAGTCTGCATTCCCACACCAAGGGCTCACTCTCAGCACGAGGCTGATCAGCTCTTCCCCCTTAGTGAGGGTAAGCTTCTCCTGCACACTGATGAGGATGATATCAGCTCTTATCTGCACAAAGCCCAGACAGGCCAGGACACCACAGCAAAACACAAAGGCCCAGTCTGGCAGCCTCCCAAAAAACAAGTCTCACAAAGTCACCCAGCTCACAAAAACAAGTTCACATGCTTGTACAAAGCCTTCTTGAAATAACACAAACCACTACAGTGAAACTCTCTGTATTATCCACCTGTAGAAGTTTATGTGTTTGGAGAAACTCTTGATAAAATATTAAAGATCACTCAAGGAAGACTGGATCTTAAAAATTATTGTGCTTTCACTTTTGGGGTGGAAGGGAGGGGCAGAAATCTACTTCCAGCTGAAGAAACGCAGTAAAAAGAAGTAAGGAAAACTAGACACTCTTCTGAGAGCCTCCTCCACCAAGTCACTAGAAATCAGCAGACCCCAAAAAGACCCACAGCACTGACCCCTGGATCTGACACTGGACCACCTAGGGCCAGCTGCTCAAAGACAAGCAGCGTGGTCCCCTAAGGTCACCATGCAGGACAACAGAGGAAGAGGTAAACTCAAGCCATTAAAAAGGCATATACTACTAAACAAGACAGCAGCACTCAGAGCACAGTAAAAAGGTCCCTGACAGCACTTTCCAGGACAGATGTGCATTATTCACAGCTGCAGCACGGATAAACACTGCAATAGCTGCATTAGTGTAAGATTCACACAGGGTACCCACACTGGCCGGCAGTAAGGGGCTGCAACTGCCTCCTCAGGGACAAGGCAGCCCATGCTTCTGCTGGGAAGAATGAGAATAAAGGAACAGGCAGGAATAAGCAGCCATGGCTGTAGAGTGGGCTTCAAACTTCATCAAAGTGCAAACAAACCAACATCACTCATTCTCAAAGTCCTCTCCTTGACTTCAGCTTTCTTTGAAGACTAAAAACATGTACTTTCAGTTCTGCTGCATAAGGCACACACATACATTTTGACAGGATCCAGCTCTCACAGTTACTGTGTTTTCCAGCTTGACACACTTGAGGGGCAACATTCAATGAGCTTCACCCCACTGCTGTCACACAGCCCATCTCTGCAGTGAAGGCAGTGCAGCAGTACATCCAGCACCCCTGAAGGACCTGCAAGAACAGGTAGCTGTACCAATTCAGAGACACAGACTGAATAAGCATTCCCAAAGACAAATTTCTACTTTGTAGTGGAAAAGGAAGCAATTTTCTGGGAAGGAACAATGGTGCAGCCCTAAAACAAAACCAACCCAGCTCAAGGCCAAAAGCCTTGAGAGAGAAACAACTTTTTTACTCCAGGAAGAATTTACTCCCAGAGCAAAACATGCTGTTATTGCTTCATACTTCTACCATTTTGACCAAAACTACAATTTCTCTGCAAAGGGTAAGCAGAGTTCCTGCATGAAGGAGCACCTTTTCCAATCCCATCACCTAAATGGGGCCCAAAAGCAGCAGCAACACTTTACAGCAGAGAAAACACTCTGAGAGCTCAACTCACTCCACAGCACTTAAAGGGATACACTGCAAATGATGGGGTCAGGGATAAACATCTAACAAGACAACAGCACCAGTCTGCCCTGCAGAAGCCCTGTATCAGGGAGGCCTGTGACAGCTGCAGGTGCTGGAGGCTTCTGCCCAGTCCGTCAGACGCTGCACAAGCACAGCCAACCATCTCCATCCGTCTCCCCTCACTCTCCAACCTCAAGAGCATTTGCTGCATTTCCTGAGCAGGATGTAAACAAGAAAAAAGACTGGGCTTTTGGCTAGAAGCATCCCGACTTCCTGAAGAAACAAAGCAAGCGTTTTTCATAGCAAAATTACCAAAATACTCTACCATATCAAAGGCCAGCAGAAGACCAGACAGAACATGCTCTGCATGTGCTGAGACAGCCTGCCTGGACCCGCGGTCCTCGACTTCACTGCGAGTTCAGTGTAGCTGTCAGCAGGCAAACCGAGAATCAAAGGGAGATCCGCTCTCAGGCGGCTGCACCCCCGCAGCAGCAACCCGAGCTGACGATTTCGCTTCCTCCTCCCGTATTGTTTGCGTCTCCTACAGCCTTCATCCTAAAAACCTCATTGATCAAGGCTAAAATCCACCTCCATCGCCAGTGAGCGCCACTGGCGAGCACAGGGGAACCCCACCGTGCGGCCACCGACACGCAGCGGGCTCGATGACTGCGGCGAGACGCGGCTCCACCGTGACTACGATGCCTCTGCTGTGACATGGCTGCGATGTCACAACTGATCCGCGTCTGCTCCGCGCGCAGCGGGACGGAACCGCGGTGACAGGGCCGGGCCCGTGGCCCGGCCCGGTGGGAGCGGCCCTTCCACCGCATCCCCCCGCGCCTGGCTCAGCGGGGCCAGACAGCGGGCGGCTCACGCCCCGGGGCCTCCAGCACGCAAAGGAACCCGCTTCCCCCCGACCGCCAAGTTTAAAGACTTAATTATTGATATTCTTGAGCACCGCAGCAGAGATGCCAGGGGGGAAGTGCGCCCCGCGGGTGAGCTCCAACACCCCGCACTCGGGGGGACCCGCTTCCCCCTCCCTGGCCGGGAGGAGCCTCCGCGCAGCGCTGTGGGGAGCCCGCCCCGCCTCCGCCCCCGGCCCCGCACGTCCCGGGACCCGCCGCCGCTGCCGGCCCGAAGCCGGCGAGGCCCGGTCGGGGGCGGACGGCAGGACCGGCGAGACGGGCTGCGGCTCCCCCTCCCCGCTCTGCCGCGGCCCGGGGGGCGGGGGAGGGCGGCGCGGAGGGACCCGGGGACACCGCCGCCCCTCCCCGCGGCCGGAGCCATGACAGGGCCGGCGGCCGCCCCGGCCCCCGCCCGCCCCGCGGCCCGCGCCGCCGCCGCCGCGTTCATTCATAGCACCGCCCTGGCGCAGCCCCGCCGCTACCCTGGCCCCGCCGGGCGGGCGAACCCAAAGTTCGGGGCAGAACTTACCCAAAATGGCTCCGCAGCCGCCCCAACACAAACAGCTTTTATTTGGTGAAGTTTAGCCCAGCACCCTGCAAGGACACCCTAACCTCGCCCGGGCCCGCCCCCGCAGCGCGCACATTGGCTGCCCAGAGCCGCGCGCCGCCGCCAATTGGCAGGCCGGCCCGTCAACTGCGCGGCGCTCGCGCCAAGCTTGGCTGCAGCGAGCCCGCCGCTCGCTCCATTGTGCTCCTGTTTGCACCGATGAGAGCGCGGCGCTGATTGGCCGCGCCGCCGCCCCCGCGCGCCACCGCCCCGCCCACGTGCTCCACGTCCGCGCCCGCCGAGCGTTGCCCGGATGTGAACCGGACCCAAGCCCCGCCCCGGGATCCGCCCGTGCCACACCGCGACCTGCCCCGCACCGCCCCGGG